ATAATAATAATAATAATAATAATAATTTACTTGCATCCTGCTCTATCTCTCTGAGGGGACTCAGCGCAACTAAGTGTGTGTGTGTGTGTGTGTGTGTGTGTGTGTCTTATTTACAAGGCTCTGTTCCATATTTTGCAATCAGTGCTGCATAATGCTCATGAAATGTGGGAAAGAAGCAAAAGATTTGGCAAGGAATGAGATGGTTTCTATTAAATGTGTTTTTTTTCAATCTTCTGGATCTGCTCTTCACCATTTCCTTCGTTGGCTGACATCATAGGTGAGCTTGAGGGTCAAAACCAAATTACAGGGAAACGCGTTCCGTCCAAATCCACTGGATTTAGTTCTGAGCAAAACATTTTAGGATTCAGTAGAGCGAGGGAGAAAGGAAACTCAAAGAGAGGCGAGGAGTTTATTCTGTCCTGGGTTTCGGAGCTGGTTTTTGAGGCGGCTCATAGAAAAAAACCTGACGGGGAACAGAAAGAGCAGCAAAGCTTTTGCCATCTGGAAGCTGTTTGACTCGGGGAAGGAGTTTGCAGGGTTCTTCATCACGAGGCATCCCAGCAGCAAAAGCCGAACAGCCCCACCCGCGAAACTGGGGCTGCTATTAGTCATTCATTTGGTAAAGCATTTGTTTTGGGAGTTTTCTTATTCGGAGCTCCGTTTCTACCCAGTTCCCCATACTGAGAAGTCAGCACTTCTGAAAGGCTCCTCTTTGCTATAGAGCAGTGGTTCTCAACCTTCCTAATGCCGCAACCCCTTAATACAGTTCCTCATGTTGTGGTGACCCCCAAACATAACATTATTTTCGTTGCTACTTCATAACTGTAATTTTGCTACTGTTATGAATGTTAATGTAAATATCTGAGACGCAGGATGTATTTTCATTCACTGGACCAAATTTGGCACAAATACCCAATACACCCAAATTTGGATACTTGTGAGGTTGGGGGGGGGGGTTGATTGTGTCATTTGGGAGTTGTAGCTGCAGGGATATATTATAGTGAACCTACAATGAAAGAGCATTCTGAACTCTGCCAACGATGGAATTGAACCAATCTTGGCACACAGAACTCCCCTGACCAACAGAAAATACTGGAAGGATTTGGTAGGTATTGACCTTGAGTTTGGGAGTTGTAGTTCACCTACGTCCAAGGAGCACTGTGGTCTCAAACAATGATGGATCTGGACCAAACTTAGCATGATTACTTAATATGCCGAAATGTGAACACTGGTGGAGTTTGGGGAAAATATACCTTGACATTTGGGAGTTGTAGTTGGTAGGATTTATAATTCACCTATAATCAAAGAGCACTGTGAACCCCACCAACGATATAATTGGCCCAAACTTCCCACACAGAACCCCCATGACCAACTGAAAATACTGTGTTTCCTGATGGTCTTTGGCGACCCCTCTGACACCCCCTCGCGACCCCTCCAGGGGTCCTGACCCCCAGGTTGAGAATCACTGCTATAGAGGGTATAGCCAGAGAGAGACATATTTACCGTGGTCCCTCGCTACTTCGCGGCTCACTTTTTGTGGACTCGCTGTTTCGCGTTTTTTTCAATAAATATTAATGTAAAATATTTATCGCTGTATTTTCGCGGGTTTTTGCGGTACTTGGTAAAACAACAATCTCGTGCATTGACTGGTTCTCCCACCAAATCAGGAAAATTCACTCCCGGCAAGGGGTGGTTTGATAAATTTCAGAAACACTATGGACGTAAGAGTGTTTGCGGATTATGCTGGAGCCGAGGATTACGTGAACAACATGTTCAAGGAGGGTTATGTAGTCTATAAGTATGTGGGGAAGGTTTATAAAGACTTAAAATAATGTATAAATATTAAAATAAATATAGCATCCTTACTTTGCCGATTTTCACTTTTCGCGAGTGGTCCTGGAACGTAACACCCCGTGATAAGTGAGGGAAAACTGTAATTATTATTATTATTATTATTATTTTTTGTCGTGTCAGGAGTGTCCTGTTGTGAGAGATTTGGCCGTCTGCAAGGACGTTGCCCAGGGGACGCCCGGATGATTATGTTTTATCATCCTTGTGGGAGGCTTCTGTCATGTCCCCGCATGAGGAGCTGGAGCTGATTGAGGGAGCTCATCCGCCTCTCCCCGGATTCGAACCTGCGACCTGTCAGTCTTCAGTCCTGCTGGCACAGGGGTTTAACCCACTATGCCACCGGGGGCTCCTATTATTATTATTATTATTATTATTATTATTATTATTATTATGCAACCTTTCCTCCCATTCCTTCCTTTTGATCTTTGTCCTAAAACCCATCCTAAAATAATAAATAAATAAATAAATAAATATAGTGTCCCTACTTTGCAGATTTTCACTTTTCGCAGGTAGTCCTGAAACATAACACTGTATAGGAATTCTCAGAGTTATCTGTACCATAGTTGCTATGCAAATGGAAAGTCACAGTGTAATGCAGGCATGGGCAAACTTCGGCCCTCCCTCCAGGTGTTTTGGACTTCAACTCCCACAATTCCTAACAGCCTACCGGCTGTTGAATTGTGGGAGTTGAAGTCCAAAACACCTGGAGGGAGGGCCGAAGTTTGCCCATGCCTGGTGTAATGTATACTCCGGAGTTAAAGAGCAGGCCAGCCTCACAATAGGATTCCTCATCCTAGTAACACTGCATTCAGAGCTCGTTTGGACTCTTAGATCGGCTCTGGCTGTAATTGTTTGTGATCTTTATCCCACTCTTTTCAAAATGGCAGCAGGGGAAAAGAACCAGCCGCCTCTTTTCCTCTACCCGATCTCGGCATCGTAAATCAGCATCTGCTGCCTTCAGCACACACTCATTCCTTTGCAGTTGTGGTTTGGAGTTAAGTTTGGGGATCTGCGAGGAGGACCGCCGTGCCTCTCGGCCTGCCTGGCTTTTCCATTCTCTCTCCTTCCTGCCGAAAGAGATTGAATTTCTTCATTTTCCAGCCAACGGGGCCAGCGTGACACACATTCCAGACAACCACAGTTGTGTATGGGGCGCATTTTTGAGCCAGCCCGAGCCAGAAGTGGTTGCCCCTCCTTTTAGAATAACGGTTTCGCCTCTAAATCACTGCAACCTACCAGTATCTCGCTTGGGTTGCAAATCTTATGGGTTTGTGGGCTTGCATTTAGAGCTTAGTGTCAGAGTGAGATGATACCCCATGCAGCCTTTACATTGTAAGAGGGATGGGCAAGGTGTAGTAGTAATAATAATAATAATAATAATAATAATAATAATAATAATAATAAATAGTAATTGTAATTGTAATTGTAATCGGTAATAATAAGAATAATTTCCTGTGACATGCTGTGTTTTTGTGTTAGTAAAATAACAACAACAGCAGTAACAACAACACTTTATTTATATTCCACCCTATCTCTCCGAGGGGACTCAAGGCGGATTCCAGCATATGCAAAAATGGGCAAACATTCAGTGCCTTGAAACAAATACACAGACAAAGGCAAAGGCTTCCCCTTTCATCTCCGGCTCTGTGACATACTGTGTTTTTGTGTTAGTAAAAGCAGCAGTAACAACAGCACTTTATTTATATTCCACCCTATCTCTCTGAGGGGACTCAAGGCGGATTCCAGCATATGCAAAAACGGGCCAACATTCAGTGCCTTGAAACAAATACACAGACAAAGGCAAAGGCTTCCCCTTTCATCTCCAGCTCTGTGACATACTGTGTTTTTGTGTTAGTAAAATAACAGCAATAGCAGCAGCAGTAAAAACAACACTTTATTTATATTCCACCCTATCTCTCTGAGGGGACTCAAGGCGGATTCCAGGATATGCAAAAACGGGCAAACATTCAGTGCCTTGAAACAAATACACAGACAAAGGCAAAGGCTTCCCCTTTCATCTCCGGCTCTGGGTGTGGTGTTCATCTCAATTTCCAAGCTGAAGAGCCTGCGTTGTCCGTAGACATGTCCTAGGTCATGTGGCCGGCATGACTGCATGGAGCGCTCCTTACCTTCCTGCCGAAGCAGTACCTATTGATCTACCCACCTTGTAAGACATAGACCACATCCTGGATCCCACTTTTGTGAACTCTGAGCTTTTCTCAAGGCCTCAAACCTCATTAAAAAATAATCCAGTTTTCGAGCTGAGAATGCAAGTCCACAAACCCATCATACACAGTCCCTTTGTGCAGGGATCAGGCAGATGTTTGAGATAACAACTCCCAGAATCCTTAGCCATGGGGCCATGACAGCTCCCTTACTGCACTGATGTTCTTCATTAGCCTACATTCAAGCAGATGGGGCTTCAAGTCTGACAAGTCTGTCTTTAAAACCAAGGTTTGGCAATACTATCTATAGATGATAATAATACAACAACAACAAAACTTTATTTATATACCACTCTATCTCCCCGAGGGGACTCAGAGCGGTTTCCAAGTAACATCATCAATACATACAAAGTAAACAACATAAACATAAAATTAACAAGACAATAAAAGCATAAAAATCACAATAGCACATATATATTTAAAATAATCCTGCCTGTTCAAGGCAATTTAAAAGGCCAGGCCGAGGCTAGTGCAAATTGTAGAGGGCCCGGGATATTAGGTAGGGTCTATGGCTGTTCATTTCTGGGGCCTGATAAAATAATACACTTTATTTATATTCCACTGTATCTCCCCGAGGGGACTCAGAGCAGATTACAGTATACACATGTATAGGCAAACATTCAGTGCCTTTTACACAGTGAACAACAATGACATACAATACACAAACAAAGGCAAGGGTTTCCCTTCCCATCTCTGGTGTCTGGAGGCAATGCTCAATCAACACTGGCCATGGGGAGGTGGTCGTGATAGGATGAAGATGAACATCAAGGATTTGCCTTGCCAAGGGGAGGCCTGAGACCACACAGGAAGTCCACCACGAAACACACTTTTGCCCTTTAATGTAAAGACTGCATGGGATCTCACTCTGATATACATATCAGAGCTAGAATGTAATAACTAACTCTTGGTCTTTCTGCCTTCCAGGAGAAGGAGAAGAAGTACATGCTGCCGGTGGATAACCTGAAGGTGCGGGACATCGAGAAGAGCTTCATGTCCAGCAAGCACATCTTTGCCCTCTTCAACACGGAGCAGAGGTGCTACCTGTTATCTATGAAATCTGAAGGGCTCAACAAATGCAAAATAGCGGTTTTTGGAAGGATCTGGAAGGACAGAGGATGATAGTTTGGTGTTAAGGAATAAAGGACAGAGGATGATCAGTGTGGAGCTGTAAAAGCAGAGGTTGAGCAGTGTTACAGCAAAAAGGGAAGGGATGATGGTCAGGTCTGGGGACAGTCAAAGAAGAGGCTGGCTGATAGGTATTAATCTATATAAATAAAAATGTAATGTTTGTTTGTGGGGTTAACATAACTCAAAAAACACTGAACTAATTGACACCAAATTTGGACACAATACACCTATCAGGCCAACGAGTGACCATCGCTCGTAAAAACACTAAAAAGCACAGCAGAAGAGACTTTAAAATAAAAAAACACAAAAAATACATTACAACGTATGCGCAAAACCACATATATACACAACCACACATATATACACATATACACAAATATATGCACACACCTATATGCATATACACACACACACAACACATATACAAAGACTGGGCCACAGCAAAGCGTGGCAGGGGACGGCTAGTAGTAGTAGTAGTAGTAGTAGTAGTAGTAGTAGTAGTAATAATAATAATAATAATTTATTTATATTCCTTCCTTCTCCCCGAGGGGACTCAGAGTGCATTACAGTATATAAACAGATACAGGCAAACATTTATGTTTCTTCATCAGCTTCCCTATGCGATCAGTAGTTCCCTTGATGTATGGCAGGAACACCAGCCATTCCACAGATATATAAACCCATTGTCCTAATTCCAACAGACCTCACTACCTCTGAGGATGCTTGCCATAGATGCAGGCGAAACGTCAGGAGAAATGCCTGTAGAACATGGCCCTATAGCCCGAAAAAACCCACAAGTACCTGATGTTTTATATATTATAATCATAGAATCATAGAATCAAAGAGTTGGAAGAGACCTCATGGGCCATCCAGTCCAACCCCTTTCTGCCAAGAAGCAGGAATATTGCATTCAAATCACCCCTGACAGATGGCCATCCAGCCTCTGCTTAAAAGCTTCCAAAGAAGGAGCCTCCACCACACTCCGGGGCAGAGAGTTCCACTGCTGAACGGCTCTCACAGTCAGGAAGTTCTTCCTAATGTTCAGATGGAATCTCCTCTCTTGTAGTTTGAAAATATAATGAGACACATACACAGACAAAGGCAAAGGCTTCTCCTTTCATTTCTGGCTGGCTCATCTCTGCCTCTAGGGGAGGTATTCTTCATTTCCAACCTGAGGAGCCCGTGCTCTCACCTTCTGCTCACCTGGCTGGCATGACTGCTTTGAGCGTCTTTTGTCTTTACCTATTTATCTACACACATTTCCATGTTTTTGAACTGCTAGGTTGGCAGGAGCTAGGGCTAACAGCGGGAGCTCACCTTGTCCCACGGAATCAAACTGCCAACTTTCAAGTCAGCAATTCAGCAGCACAAGTGTTTAACCCACCATAGCCCACAAGGGTTTAACCCACCCTATGTCTAGCATTATCGAAAAAGAGGCTCGTGACATTGCTTAAATCAAGAATTCTTTTATTTGCTGTCCCCATATTTCAGGGGTTATTTTGCCAGCCTGAACTGTATCCCTCCTTAAGACTGTTATGTTTGGAGTATAATATTACTTTTGCCTCATTGAGGAGACAGATTGAAAGGGCCATTTCATATTATTTCTTCTTCCTCCCCCCTCTCTTTTCTCCTTTCAGAAATGTTTACAAAGATTACCGGCAACTGGAACTGGCCTGCGAGACCCAGGAGGAGGTGGATAGCTGGAAGGCCTCCTTCTTGCGTGCAGGAGTCTACCCGGAGCGTGTCGGGGTGAGTTCATCGTGACAGCAACCTAAGTGTCAAAAGTGGGTGGAGGTGAAAACGTCTCGCACCGAACTAAGGCTAGTGAGAACTGTGCCAGCCTTGCCAAAGTCAGCCATCTTTCTCTGGTCTGTTAAGTTCAAAGATACAGCCATGTGAGTCTGGATCAGTAGGAAAAGGGATCTTGTAGCACAGGCATGGGCAAACTTCATCCCTCCAGGTGTTTTGGACTTCAACTCCCATCATTCCTAACAGCCTCAAACCCTTTCCTTTTCCCCCTCAGCCGCTTAAGCGAGATAGAGTGATAGACCTAAAAGATGCCTACCTTCATATTCCAATAGACACATAGATCGATAGAACGCTTAAGCGTCTGAGGAGTAAAAGGAAGGGGCCTGAGGCTGTTAGGAGTGGTGGGAGTTGAGCTCCAAAACACCTGGAGGGAGGACCAAAGTTTGCTTGGTATATAAACTAGGTAGAAAATGAAACATTTACTGATAACAGATCAGCATTTGTAAGTCTTGCTGAATAGGCTGGTTCCCCCATTTTATGAAGTACAGCTGAAGCATTTTCTGCAGAGTCCACTGTAATCATGACACATGGTTGCTAACAGATTTGTGTACATGGCTGATGCTCAGAAACGTTTTACTGTTGCCAGATCTTTCCTGGTTCCAACATTGAGCTAAACTAAAGGAATCCCATTTGAGGTCAGGACTCACGGTTCAAGAGGCAGTGTTTTAGAGAACGTTACCTCACGTCTATGATCACTTGCAGGCTCTTCTTAATCTGTTCTTGAATTTTCCCAGGCCGCCCCTCTTTTTACAGATTGCTTTTCTCAATTGCTCTTCCCACACCAATCAAATCACTTGTTCTGATCATTTTTTTTTTTCATCCCCAAACCGTTGACTACCAGGGATGGAAGACCTTGGTTTCACCCTATTTTTCCTTCCAAAATCTTGAGTTTTTTCCATCTCAAATACGATTGGTTAATTGAGATACATTCACAATTAAACCAAATGACATTCTCCGTCATCCCAATATCCATGTTCGATGTGCATAACAACAACAACAACAGTAGTAGTAGTAGTAGTAGTAGTAGTAATAATAATAATAATTTCTTTGTAGACTTAGGGCTTTTCTAGCAATAATAATAATAATAATAATACACTTTATTAATATTCTACTTTATCTCCCTGGAGGGACCCAGAGCGGATTACAATACACATATGAGGCAAACATTCAGTGGTTTTTTACACACAGACATAAAACACAGGCAAAGATAAAGGCCTTCCCCTTTTTTCCATCTACGGAGTCTGGAGGCAATGCTCAACTCTGGCCATGAGGAGGTGCTCTTGCTCCATTTTTCCATGCCGAAGAGCCTGTTGTCCATAGACATGTTTGATTGTGTTGCTGGCATGTCTGCATATCTGCATGAGGCACCCTTTTACCTTCCCAGCAAGGCAGTACCTATTGATCTACTCGCATTTCATACTTTGGGAATGCTAGGTTGGCAGAAGCTAGGACTGACAGTCGGGAGCTCACCCTGACTTGCGGCTTCAAACTGCCAACCTTCCGGTCAGCAGTTTTCCTGCAACTAGCGGTTTTAACTGCTGTGCTACCGCAGCCTCATAACCATGTTGTAACTGTACCTTTTAAAGGAACCAGTCAGAAGAAAAGAGTTGGTAATTCAGTACCAACATGGCTGAATAGCACAGTATCGTGCAACAGATGTCCATGTGTGATTACTCTGCATATGCCTTCTCAATGAGAGCTACCATGGTGTGGCAATTCGAGCACTGGACTATTGGGAGGCCAGGGCTCAGTTCCCAGCTTGGCAATGGAAACCCAGTGGGTGACCTTGGACAAGTCACACTCTCTTGGCCCCATAAAACTCTAGGAAATGACTTGAAGGTACCCAAGGACAACAGTCTCTTCTGAACATCCCTCTCTTTGGCTGTCCCTCCCTATTCATTAGAGTTGGATAGGTTCATTTGGAAGAGCCTGAAAGTCGGAAAAAACATACGAGTTTTGACTTCTGAAGGAGTTTTGAACCAAAAGTGGTAATGGTGGTGGGGGCGGAATCCGAATTTGAATCACTGTTTTTTTCCTACTGCGCATGCATGTCTACATTAACGAATCAATTCGGAAGTTTCAGAAGTTTTGGGAGTTTTGAAAAAAAATTGAAAAATTCAGAATTAAACCATGAAAAGAGTTTTGAACATTTTTTTTTTATCAATCAAGCCTACTATTCATTCCCTTCTATCGACTTTCTAAGTGACAATAGTGCCATCTGTTGGTGAGGCAAGGGAACCTTTCTGGATCCATCATAAACTTTGTTTCTACCTTGGTTGAAAATATCCCTTCTCCTCCCCTTTTTATGCTTTGCCCCATCCGTTCTGTGTGTTTTTCCTCCATTGCTCCCGACCTCATCCCTTGTCATTTCTTATAAACAGTCCCTGTTTAAAGTTATAGTCCCTAATGTCCATTGTATAGGTTGAGAGCTAGGTGGGCAAAGAAAATTTGGTGCTCCTGGTAAGTAATTTCCTCTTGGAATCTGCACTTACTGATCTAGTATTCTTTTTTAGTTTGACCCTTTTTGCTGTGGTCAGTGAGGAAGTCTTTCCCGCAGGTGTTTTGGAGGGTTTCCCGTGTTTTCGTGGCTGTGTTAGGTACTGAATTGCAGCTGCTGTTGCAAAGTCAAATACAGAGGGTTTTTTTTAATTGTCACCTTTTTTCTTGTTTTTTGTTTTCCCTTTTTTGCTTTTTGTGCGCAAACTGGCCCTTCAGGACAAAGACAAAGTAAGTGACGGCCCCTCTTGTCTTTTGCGCCCTGTGGTGGGAATCTCATCACTCCTTTCTGAATTGCTCATTTTTCTCTTTTATTTCCCCCTTTTCTTTTTGAATTTATTTATACGTCTTAAGGGACATGCCTTCCTTCTCCTTTCCTCTCTGCACTTCCTACCATGTTATCTGCTTCATTTATTTCTGTTCTTGCTTTGGTTTCCCTTTTTTTCGTCCCAATGTGCCTTCTTTGGAATTAGATTGCTCAGTTCTTGAGCTGCATCCAGATGACTCTTCCCCTCCATCTTGATCTTTCCCCCATTTGGCCTTTTTCTTTCTCATTTTTTGAGTTGTTCTGACTCTCCTATCTCTTAATGTTCTTTTCCCAAGACTTTTGGGGTTATGCGTGCAAGCTTTTTGCAATGAAAGTAGGAGAAAAACCTGGTAAACAAACCCAAAAGCTAAATTCCTTTCCTCTGTGAAGGACACTTGTAGGGTGTCATATTTCGTAGCCCTCTGTTTGAAATCACCTCGTTGTTTGGAATCAGGACCAGTCACAAGATGAAAGAACCAGAAACAGAGACATTAGGGCAGGCATGGGCAAACTTGGACTTTAGCTCCCACAACGTGGGTATGCAGATGATCCCTTGATTGACTGGAGTGCCCAGTTCCAAGAGGACAAAGCCATGGGCCAACTTGGGCCCTCCCTCCAGGTGTTTTGGGCTTCAGCTCTCACAATGTGGGTATGCACATGATCCCTTGATTGACTGAAGTGTCCAGTTCCAAGAGGACAAAGGCATGGGCCAACTTCGGCCCTCCCTCCAGGTGTTTTGGACTTCAGCTCCCACAACGTGGGTATGCAGATGATCCCTTGATTGACTGAAGTGTCTAGTTCCAAGAGGACAAAGGCATAGGCCAACTTTGTCCCTCTCTCCAGGTGTTTTGGGCTTCAGCTCCCACAATGTGGGTATGCAGATGATCCCTTGATTGACATTTCCGGTTCCCAGAGGACAAAGGCATGGTCCAACTTGGGCCCTCCCTCCAGGAATTTTGGACTTCAGCTCCCACAACGTGGGTATGCAGATGATCCCTTGATTGACTGAAGTGTCCAGTTCCAAGAGGATAAAGAAATGGGCCAACTTGGGCCCTCCCTCCAGGTGTTTTGGACTTCACCTCCTACAACGTGGGTATGCAGGTGATCCCTTGATTGACTGAAGTATCCCGTTCCAAGAGGACAAAGGCATGGTCCGATTTCGGCCCTCCATCCAGGTGTTCTGAACTTCAGCTCCGACAACATGGGTATGCAGATGATCCCTTGATTGACTGACATGTCCAGTTCCAAGAGGACAAGGGCATGGGCAAACTTCAGCTCTCCCTTGATAGGCTGAAGGGGAAAAGAAAGGGGCCTGAAGCTGTTAGGAACTGTGGGGGTTGGAGTCCAAAACATCTTCAGTTTGCCCATGCCCGGGTTAGGGCCTTTAATGCTCCCCATAAACAACTAGTAGTACATGAGCAGCAGGTTGAACAGGTACCTTCTCTGGTTTAGTTTTCCCTCCATTGTCATTATTAGGTGTTTATATTTTTCTATTATAGCAGTTACAATAAGATACACACACCCCTCCTATTATTGGGGAATATGTTTCTGGTTGGACCATGGTTACCTGAAACTGCAGATACAACCGAATACAATTACATTACCTGACCTCTAGCCCCAAAATATCATGGATGACTTTTGCCAAGTGCGTTGACAAGAAGTAAGAAATAATAATATACTTTCTTTATATTCTACTCTACCTCCCCAAGGAGACTCAGAGCGGATTACAGGGTACATATATGGCAAACATTCAATGCCGTTACACAATTGACAAAGACAGATAGCACATAAACAGAGGCAAGGCTTCCCTCTTTTCATCTCCGGCATCCGGCTGTGTTTGGCTCAGCCATGGGGAAGTGCTGTTGCTTCATTTTCCGTGCTGAGGAGCCTGTCCCCCATGGTTGGATTTTTTGCCTTCTACTTCCCCACCAAAATGGTACCTATTTATCTACTTCCATTGTTGTTTTCAAATTGCTAGGTGAGCAGAAGTTGAGCTGACGGCGGGAGCTCACCCTGACCAGGGCTTGAACTGCCAACTTTCTGGTCGGCAGGATCTTCTATAGCAACTGGTTTAACCCGATGCGCTAGCTCGACCCTGAAATCATATTAAAATATATGATGCAATTCATAAACAGATTATCCAAATACAATGTGATACAGTTCTATATGATGTATATAATCAAAATAGTCAAGTGTATAAAAGGATATGAATCTAAAACTCCTCACCATCTTGTCTCTCCCAAACCCTCCACAGTCCGGCGACTCGGAAGAGAATGGCTCCGACAGCCTGATGCATTCCATGGACCCGCAGCTGGAGAGGCAGGTGGAGACCATCAGGAACCTGGTGGACTCTTACATGGCCATCGTCAACAAGACTGTCCGCGACCTCATGCCTAAGACCATCATGCATCTCATGATCAACAATGTATGTCTTCCACTAAAAGGTGTAATAATAATAATAATGATGATGATATACTTTCTTTATATTCTGCTCTATCTCCCCAAGGGGACTCAGAGTGGAATACAAGTACATATATGGCAAACAATCAATGCCGTTATACAGTTAACCACAAATTCAGACAGTACATAGACAGAGGCAAAGGCTTCCCCTTTTTTTCCATTTCTGGCATCTGGAGGCTGTGCTCGACTCAGTCATGTGGAGGTTATTTATTTATCGTGTCAGGGGCAGACCAAACAGTTGCATTGCATTTTTAACAAACAAACAAAACACAAAGTTTGCAAGCTTGGTAGTTGATTAAATGTCCTTTGACCAGTATCTGGCCACTTGGAGTGCCTCTGGTCTTGCCGCAAGGAGGTCCTCCATTGTGCATGTATCAGGGCTCAGGTTGCATTGCAGCAGGTGGTCAGTGGTTTGCTCTTCTCCACACTCACATGTCGTAGATTCCACTATGTAGCCCCATTTCTTGAGGTTGGCTCTGCATCTCGTGGTGCCAGAGGGCCATCTGTTCAGCGCCTTCCAAGTCGCCCAGTCCTCTGTGTGCCCAGGGGGTAGTCTCTCATTTGGTATCAGCCATTGGTTGAGGTTCTGGGTTTGAGCCTGCCACTTTTGGACTCTCGCTTGCTGAGGTGTTCCAGCGAGTGTCTCTGTAGATCTTAGAAAACTATTTCTTGATTTAAGTCATTGATGTGCTGCTGATATCAAAACAGGGGATGAGCTGGAGATGTCACTGCCTTGGTCCTTTCACTATTGGTTGCTACTTCCCGGCAGGTGTCAGGTGGTGCAATACCGGATAGACAGTGTAATTTCTCCAGTGGTGTAGGGCGCAGACACCCCGTGATAATGCGGCATGTCTCATGCCACATCTACTGTTTTAGCGTGTTGAGATGTGTTCCACACTGGGCATGCATACTCAGCAGCAGAGTAGCATAGCACAAGGGCAGATGTCTTCACTGTGTCTGGTTGTAATCCCCAGGTTGTGCCAGTCAGCTTTCGTATGATATTATTTCTAGCACCCACTTTTTGCTTGATATTCAGGCAGTGCTTCTTGTAGGTCAGAGCACGGTCCAGAGTGACTCCCAGTTATTTGGGTGTTCTGCAATGCTCCAGTGGGATTCCTTCCCAGGTAATCCTCATAGCTCGGGATGCTTGTCTGTTCTTGAGGTGAAAAGCACATGTGGAGGTGCTGTTGCTCCATTCTTCCATGACAAGCTTTTGTTATTCATAGACGCTTTCCTGATCAGATTGCTGGCATGTTTTTCAGGGTGCTTTTTTCCTCCCACCTAAAAGCAGTATCTACTCACATCTCTGTTTTCAATCTGCTAGGTAGTGAGAAGCTAGGCTGATGGCGGGAGCTCACCCGCTCGTGGCTTGAACTGCTAACCTTTCGGTTGGCAAGATCTTCTGTAGCTGGCGTTTAACCCACTGTACTATGCCACGGTCCATGCCAATACATGCCATCTTGTTGTGGTCTTCGTACCCCTGACTGTGAAGGAGGTTCAGGTTCAAATCAGCCATTAAACTCTCCAGGCAATCTTCAACCAGTAGGCATTCTTCAATCTAACTCAGAGCTCTCCAAACTGTGTGTAGCAACACGTTTGTTGGGCAGCTGCAGGAGGAATGGCAGAGCAAAAAATGGCACCAAAAATATCAGCTCCATTCTAGGGAGGGGGTGATTAAAACACATTATTATTGTTACGCTGAAGCAAAGCCATAGACGAGAGTAGGGGCCTTGCAATCACTCCGGCTCCGTTCTCAACTTGTGCCTTCTCTCCTTCGACAGACCAAGGACTTCATCCACTCCGAACTGCTGGCGAACCTCTACTCCTGCGGAGACCAGAACACCCTGATGGAGGAGTCGGCTGAGCAGGCCCAGCGGCGGGACGAGATGCTGCGCATGTACCACGCCTTGAAGGAGGCCCTGCACATCATCGGGGACATCAACACCACCACCATCAGCACACCCTTGCCTCCGCCGGTGGACGACTCCTGGCTGCAGGTGCAGAACATACCATCCGGACGCAGGTACCCGAGGCTCAGGCGGAGGCCCCCGCAGACCTTCCTGATGCCTCTTTTAGCAGCTAGATGGGGTGCCTCCTGCTAAGGAAGGGATGCCCAGCCTTGGAGCAGCCCTGAGAGCCGTTCCAGGGGTTCCTGGGACCCTGAAGGCTGGCCGATATTCAGAAGTCTTCCCAAAGCCTAGTGTGGAAACCCAGCCATCTCCACTGGGCTTTTTATTTTTCCAGAGAGCTGAAAGTGTGAATTGAAAGAGGCTGTTGCACATAGCATGCACATATTGTAAGACTCTTCTGTCTTCAGGGATAACCCTTTAAACTTTTGGACACATAACCTTTTGGGAAGGCAGCACTTTCTGAGAAGAGCCAAAAACTCATTTGAGTAAAATCTTCTCTTTAGTGGTAAATGTCTACTAGCATTCATGCAAGGCACTTAGGTTTTCCCAGTGTGGTCACTGTGAATCGTACATATTGGTAATTCCTGTGCCTGCGCAGAGCAACTTCGGAACCTTCTAGAAGATAAAATACTAATATTTTAGATTGTAGCCCCGCCCATCCCCTCCCGTTTGTATATATAACCAATGGGAGGGGCTACATTCCCAGTTCTCTTCATCCACCCCCCTAGCAGCAACAGAGAACTTTTGGACACATAACTATTTGGAAAGGCAGCACTTTCTGAGAAGAGCCAAAAACTCATTTGAGTAAAATCTTCTCTTTAGTGGTAAATATCTACTAGCATTCATGCAAGGCACTTAGGTTGCTCAGCTATTAGACTCATAAACTTGGTTATCTCTTTGAACTGTTAAGGACAAAGATATGTCAATGCACAAAAACAGCAAAGTTTCAGAAGTGTTTCTTTCAGTGCCTAAAAACATCTACTCTCACATAAAACACTTTGGTTTAAATCATGCTCTCAAGAGACAATAACATAGTCGGTTTACTCACAAACTTAATGTATTCAGCATACAGGTACATTGCTTATTAGTCCAATTACACATAGATTTGAAGTCATTTCTCTGAGCAGATAACACAGGACATCTTTCTTAGAGTTAGTCTAAAGCATCTCAGAGTCTAATGGAGTCTGTACAGTCTGAGAGTCTAATGGTGTCTGCCCTCTAAAATGGAGTCTCAGGTCTGAATAGTCCCAGATCTGATCACATGTTCTGTGGTCCCTTCCATGACATAGAGTTAAGGAAAACTACATACTGATACACACACATACAATACAGGAAGCAATCTGAATCATATACATAACATATAACTAGAAGAAGGTTACTATTTCCAACATAAACTATGGTTATGTGAAACTGGACGCTATTAAAATACCTGACTTCCAGTGCCAGCGTACTGTAAAATTGCTCTGAAGTAACCTAAAGCAGATCAAATAAGATGGAAGAAGATGATAAAAAATTAGAATTAGAATACATTTTTATAGGGGTAATAGAGAAAAGGGTAAAAAGGCACAGAACATAATAATAATAATAATAATAATAATAATAATAATAATAATAATACCCAGGTGACAGCAAGATTGAAGAGAAACAACTGGAAAAGCTGACATGATATGAGGGTTTAAAGATCGAACTGCAAAGACTCTGGCACAAGCCAGTCAAGGGGGTCCCAGTGGTGATGGGCACATTGGGTACAGTGCCTCAAGACCTTGGCCTGGACTTAAACACAATCGGCGCTGACACAATTACCATCTGCCAGCTGCAAAAGGCTACCCTACTGGGATCTGAACGCATTATTCGCCGATWCATCACACAGTCCTAGACACTTGGGAAGCGTCCAACGTGTGATCCAATTCAACAGCCAGCAGAGTGTCTGCTGTGGACTCATCTTGTTGTGTTAATAATAATAATAATAATAATAATAATAATAATAATAATAATAATAATAATCGGAAACTTCTCAAAGCACAGCAGACAAAGAATCAGTACAAGAAAAYTGCACTCCAAACCAGAACTGACAGCTGGCACAACAAAGCATTGCATGGGCAGTTCCTTGACAAAACTGAAGGCAAAATTGATAAGGAGAAGACCTAGTGATGGCTCATGAATGAAACACTGAAGAAGGAGAAAGAAGAAGGCCTGATTCTTGCAGCCCAGGAGCAAGCCATCAGAAAAAAGGCCATTAAGGCCGGGATTGAAAAATCAGCTGATGACCCAAAATGCAGAATGTGCAAGGAAGCTGATGAAACCATGTATCATATCCTCAGCTGCTGCAAGAAAATCGCACAGACTACAAACAGAGGCACAACTCTGAGGCCCAAAAGATTCATTGAAACTTATATCACAAGGATGACCTGCCAGTAGGAGAGAACTGGTGGGATCATAAACTTGCAAAGGGAGTGGAAAATGAACTCGCAAAAATACTGTGGGACTTTTAAATCCAGACTGACATCACGATTGTGGAAAAGAAAAAAAGTCTGGATTATTGATGTCGCCATACCAGGTGACAGTCGCATTGAGAAAAACAACAGGAAAAACTCAGTCATTATCAGGACCTCAAAATCGAACTTCAAAGGTTCTGGCATCAACCAGTCCAGGTGGTCCCAGTGGTTATCAGCACACTGGGTGCCGTGCCAAAAGATCTCAGCCAGCATTTGGAAACCATAAACACTGACAAAATCATGATCTGTCAACTGCAAAAGGCTACCTGACTTGGATCTGCACACATCATTCAAAAATACATCACACAGTCCTTGGGAAGTGTTCGACTTGTGATTCTGTGATGCGAAATCCAGCATATAGATCTCGTTTGCTGTGACATACTGTGCTTTTGTGTCAGTAAAATAATAACAATTTATTTATATTCTGCCCTTTATTACAGCTTATAAACAGACACCGAGAAACATTCAATACCTTGTTATAATGACATACAATGAAACACAAATACACAGACAAAGGCAAAGGCTTCTCCTTTCATTTCCGGCTTTCAGCTCTCTTGGAAAGCTCTTTGATGGTGAAGGGTTCTTAGGAGGCAGCGAAAGTGTTTAGGAAAGCCCTCTGTTGTCCTGTGAGCCCGATGTCGAGGGAAGCATCTCCCTTTTCCTCTCTCTGTGTTCCCTCTCCTCCCTCTCGTTGCCAGATCTCCCACCTCCAGCCCGACGCCACAACGGAGAGCTCCGGCAGTCCCACCCGCAAGGCCTGGGTCGCGAGGCCCGGCTCCTGGACCTCCGCCTGCTGGTGGGCCCACCCTGGGTGGTGCGCCGCCAGTGCCCTCTAGGCCCGGGGCCTCCCCCGACCCCTTTGGACCTCCCCCACAGGTCCCGTCTCGGCCCAACCGCGCACCCCCCGGCGTCCCCAGGTAAGAGCGAGCAAGGGCATTGGCATTGGCCGCAGCACCAGGGATGCACAAAGAAGCCACTTGTTAGGGGAGGGAACCTCATCAAGGCTTACTGGAGGATAAACAATGCTCAATGGCTGTAGAAATTCATCAGGGGTGGGATGTTTCCAGATTTAGGGGCATGTTTGAAAAGCTACTAGGGATATCTGTAGATCCTTATCCATACTTACAAATACTGTCCACCAGCTTTATGCTTTATGTATCATTTTTAATCATCATTTTAATTAATTTAATTAAATTTAATTTTAATTAATTTAAATTTAATTTTAACTAAATTTTAATTAATTTAAATTTAATTAATCTTTACATAACTTAAAAGCTAGGCAGAAGTTCTACCTGGATATATATTTAAGCTTTCCTGCAGTGTAGTTGACTTCCTTGAAGACACATTCTTTTACTGACACAGACAACAAACCTTAATAGAACCTTTTGCAATTAAATTGTTTGATAGGTTATTTACTATTATATTTATTTACTAATATAAATATATATATATATAATACTATTATATTATATTTATTTACTCAAATAAAGTAGAATATTACTATTATAATATTATAATAGTAATATTATATTGTATTAGTCAATATTATAATATTATAAAATTTACTAATATAACATTTACTAATATAATATTACTATTATAATATTATAACAGTAATATTATATTATATTAGTAAATATAATATTATAATATTATAATATTTACTAATATTATATTTACTATAATAACTATTTATAGTTATTTACCTGGTAGGGAATGTAGGATCATAGACAAAATTAAGCAGCTCTTGAGGATAGACTATTGAAGCCAATCGTTCAACCAAGGGATTCATACTTATTCACTGCAACATGAGAAGAAGATTCTATTGAGAAATGCAAGGGAGATAAGCATGCCATATTTAGGCATATTGTCTATGCTAATTGTAATATCATAATATGTCTTTATTAGGCATGTGCAATCCATGGTTCTAAATGGTTCTAAAGCACTTTCAAAATGCAATTATTATTTCATTCTTTATGATTTTTATGACAGAACCAATTAGGAATTGCCATTTCTATTGAAATTTTGAAAGTTTTGTAAGAGTTCTGAAATTTTCACCACCAGAACTTTAGCAACACTTTAGCAAGCAAAGCACCAGCGCCTCCTAGTTTTCACCACCAGAATTTTAGTTTTGTAAGTTCTTTAGAACCATTCAGAACCATGGATTGCACATGCCTATTCTTTATGGATAATTCAGCAGGCATACAGCAATGAGTGGAATATCAGGCTTTGTTAGCTACAGTGGTCTTGGGTTTTATTCTGCCAGGAACATTCTGTCAACTGGCAGTACAATTCCAGCTTGCGGCATGAAGTGGTGAAGTTCCAAACAGTCAGGTGTGAGCTGTGGGAGAGATTGGGAAGCTGAATTGGAGGACTGATTTGAAGAACGCCACTTTCCAGTGAGATATGTTGAACTTGCAGGAAGGAGACAGGGCTCCCTCTCTCATGGTCCCATGCATGAGAAAAGTTTGTCTCTTGCTCGGATGTTCACTGCTGCAGCGGTGAGTTTCTGAAGTAAGGATTTGCAGTCCTATACATGTTTATTTAGGGAAGTACATCTCACCGGCCCTCTGTGATATCACTGGGTTGGCTGTTGCTAGGTCAAGTAGCCCTCTGTGATGTCACTAGGAAAGAAAGTTGTGTGTATAATAATAATAATAATAATAATAATAATAATAATAATAATCTATGTAAATAAAAATTTAATTTTAGTTTGTGGGATTAACATAACTCAAAAACCACTGGACAAATTGACACCAAATTTGGACACAACACACCTATCAGGCCAACGAGTGACCATCACTCATACCCCCCCCCCAAAAAAAAGCAGCAGAAAGGACTTAAAAACCCAAAAGAGCAATATGACAATACAGATGCAGATGCCCGGCTTACTAACTGTGAAGCCCTTCCTCTGCAGAGAGCAGGGATGCACCTCTCTCAAGCACTACCTTCGAGCCCAACTCTTTTCCAGCCTATGTGGAGGGAAGGAAGGAAGGAGGGAAAGGGAGAAGGAAGAAAGAAGAAAAGGAAAGAGGAGATGAAGGGAAAAAAGCAGAGAAGGAAGGAGGGAAAGAAAGAGGTAGAGAAGGAAGGAGAGAATGAGGTGGGAAAGAAAAAGAGTGGTACGCAGGAAAGAGGTAGAGAAGAAAGGAAGGAGAGAAGAAAAAAGAGAAGGAACRAAAAAGAGAGAGAAGGAAGGAAGGAAGGAGAGAAGGAAAGAAGGAGAGAAAGAAGGAGGGAAGGGAGGAAGGAAAGAGAGAAGGAAGGATGGAACCAAAGAGCAAACGAAGGAAGGAAGGAAGGAAGGAAGGAAGGAAGGAAGGAAGGAAGGAAGGAAGGAAGAAACGAGAGAAAGCAGAAGGGAAAGAAAAAGTGGGAAGGAAGGAAAGAAAGAGGGAAGGAAGGATGGAACCAAAGAGCAAACAAASGAAGGAAGGAAGGAAGGAAGGAAGGAAGGAAGGAAGGAAGGAAGGAAGGAAGGAAGGAAGGAGAGAAGGAAGAAACGAGAGAAAGCAGAAGGGAAAGAAAAAGGGGGAAGGAAGGAAAGAGGGAAGGAAGGAAGAAGAGAAAGAAGGATAAAGAGGAAGGTTGGCCACAGCAACGTGTGGCGGGTACAGATAATAATAATAATAATAATAATAATAATAATAATAATAATAATAATAACAACAACAACTTGATTTGTATTCCGCCCTATCACCCCAATGGGATTCAAGGCAGATTCCAACAGACAACAAGACGAACATTAAATGCCTTGAAAAACAATAAATACAAATACAGTGGTACCTTACTACTTCGCGGTTCGCTTTTCGCGAACTCACTATTTTGCGGTTTTTCAATATGGACTTATGAGCGTTTCTCTGTATGGAGACGCTGCCACTGCGGATAATGCTGGAGCTGAGGATTATGTGTACAACACGTTCAAGAAGGGTTATGTGGTGTATAAGTGTGTGGGAAGAGTTTATAAGGACTTAAAATAGTGTATAACTCCTAAAATAATGTATAAATATTAAAATAAATGTAGCGTCCCTACTTCGCGGATTTTCACTTTTTGCGGCTGGTCCTGAAACGTAACACCCGCAATAAGTGAGGGAAGGAAAGAGATACAAAGAGAGCTGTGTTGCCAAGAAGACATTGTGTGGCCCTCTCAGAGCTAGAGAAGGGAGAAAGGATAGTGGAAGGAAAAGGAAGGAAAGAAGGGAGGGTGAAATTGGAAGAGAAAGAAAGGAAATGAAGAAGTAAAAGGGAGGGAAGGAAGGGAAAGGAAAGGGGAAAAGGTATGAGGGGAGGGAAAGAAAAAAAGAAAGAAAGAAAGAAAGAGAAGGTAGAGAAAGGAAAGGAGATGTGAAGAGTTTTGAACAGAGTATGATTTGTTTACAGGGAAGTATAGGACTAAGCTATACATCTAACCCACCCTCCAATTTTCTTGTTGACGATCTTTCATATTTATTTTATTTTATTTTATTTGCAGTATTCATATTCCACCCTTCTCACCCCGCAGGGGACTCAGGGTGAATTACAATGTACATATTTATTTATTTATTCATTTATGTATTTATTTACAGTATTTGTATACCGCTTTTCTCCCCAAGGGGGACTCAAAGTGGTTTACACATAAGTAATGGCAAAATTCAATGCCAGTACAAACAATTACAATTATACACTACAATTAGACATAAATCAAGTTAAAAACAGTACATCCACAAGCAATACCTGGCAAACATTCAATGCCATAGACACACAGCATATATAGGCAGACACACAGAGTCTATTTAACATTCCAGCTTTTTCATGAGGGTATTCTGGCCACCAGGGGAGCTGTCGCTTCACCGTCCATTTGTGACACTGATGAAGTACTTCCTCGTTCTTTGCATGCTTGCTGGAGATTTTTATGGCGTCGTAAATTAACCTCCCCACATAAGCAGTACCTAAATTTCCTACTTGACAGATGCAACTGTCTTTCGGGCTGCAAAGGTCGACAGCAAGCTACACAAATTGGTCGGAAGCTCACTCCGACCTGGGCTGGCTTCGAACTCATGACCTTTTGGTCAGTAGTGATCTTAATGCAGCTGACTCTTAAAAACATGAAGCCCATGTTTAAAATTGGTGATGAAAAATCGTCAACAAGAAAAGCTGATTTAGAAATGTTAGCAACTGACCTTTGGAGGCATTGCTCTCTGTGACAGTATATATATATTTTTCCTGTTGATATTAATGAATGTTGGCACATATTGCGAACAGTGGATTTGATACCTGTCTCTGATGCAACATAACTATGTGCAAAAGATTGCTTTCATCCGAGTTGGACCCTACAGGTCTGTCAGCTGGAGGATCCTAGATGCGGATGAAGAATGCGTCTACCTAAGCTCTGCCTTCTCTTGGTGGGCCTCTTGCTGGGTAGATACACAGTGGTGGAGATCTGGGCTAAAGGACAGAGTGGATGAGTCTGTAGTAGGTGCGGTGTGTTGTGCGGTGGTTGCACAACCATTGACCGTCACGTGCTCAATTATCCCAGCTTCCTGTGGTGGTGCCTGCCTCTCGCGCCACTTTCCTGGGCCTTTCCACAGGTGTCTTATGGCCCCACATGTGGTTTTCATACCAACCTTTCGTTGTGGTTGCCAGCATGTTCTGCTGCTGCTGTTGCTTTGTATCACCAGGCCTTGCTTCTCTCTTCACATCCAGCCTTCTCTTTTCAGTTTTGTTCCCATTGCGTGCCTTGTGTTTGCATTTCTTGTTTCTTCACTACCACTCTCCATCTATCTCACTTCACCCTCGTTCACATGCCAAAATATATATACCTATTCTATATACTGGCAAGGATATTCCATGCGACTGGAATACAACGGGCGCTCTCTCTTCCTTTCTCTCTTGCCCCAATTTCTATGCAACACCCTATTTGCAAAACTTTGGATTATCT